TTATATTCTTACTTAATACACCTCTGTAGTTTTATTACGTAGCTTTTAACATTAATAGTTCAGTAACCTGTTTCAATGAAACTTAGAAAAAAACCTCGTTCTAGAAATCTAGTGTAAGTTGAGGTTCTTATAAAAAGATATCGTGAGTAAATAGGAGAAAAATTCGAAATTGAGTAATCAATCAATTTCATTCCATGCACCAAACTGTTGCAAAGTATATACATGCTTACATAGACAGTCAAATATTTTATTGCACTCGTGTACGGTGGCCAGTGATAAAGGAGCCTATTACAGTCAATCAGTCAGCTAAAACATAGGACCAGGTAAATTTATGCATCGGTCCAAGTTGCCATACCTCATCATCATAACAAGATGAACACTAAACTCGTAGAAACAGTTACTTCAGTGTTAGTAATATATATAAATACAGATTGTATATAAGGATATGGTACAGAGAGACAGAATTAGTTCGTAGAAAGAAATGTATAAAGCAATTTTATTCTCACGACAGTCACGAGGACCCCAACCAAGTAGTCTCCATCTACCAACATGGCTAAGACCAGAAGTTAGTGACTTCAAGCACTGATGCCACGTTCTGGTTTGGCCGCCCATAACTTCCTTCCAACCATCCCCAACACTAGTCAGCATTGCCAGTCGTGGCAACCGATGTTCAGGCATACGCAACACGCGGCCCAACCATCTCAGTCGATGAAGATTCACAACCTCATCAACTGACTCACCATCGTTCCCTAATACCCTGCGTCTAACCTCACTATTACTTACCCGGTGATCCCAGCAAATATGAACAATATTTCTAAGACATTTGTGATCAGATACTAGTAACCTACGTGTATCCTCTACTCTTAACGGCCACGTTTCGCAGCTGTAAATTAGAACAGAACCAACTGCTAAGCAGTATACTCGCTTCTTAATTGATAGACAGATATCTCGTTTTCGTCATAAGTGATATGGGTTGGCAATAGCCAAATCAGCTTTTTGAATTCGTGCAGGGACCTCGTCAGACATTGACCCATTAGGGCTGATCAGACTTCCAAGATAAGTGAAGTTGTCGACACGTTCAACTACTTCACTCTGATCCTTAGTTCAGGAATTGATGCAGATCAGTCCTGAAGCAACAATTTGCATTCAGAGGAGAAACGCATCCCAAACATCCTGGCATTGTTGCTCAGTACTACCAAAAGACTGCATTTTATCAATGACTTCACCAAACAGGACAATGTCATCTGCGTACTCAAAGTCGATAATTGGACTCCCTGGTAGGAGATCAGTTCCTGATAATCCAGTCGGCGAGAAAGTTATTTCCAGCAGTAGGTCTACGATGAAGTTGAACAAAAATGGAGATCGTGGACAGCCTTAACGGACACCACTTGAGGTTGCAAACTCAGATGACAGTTCGCCATAAGCTCTGACTCGACTAGTGGTGTTCGAGTAGAGAGCCTCCACAAGGTCTATGTACTTTTGAGGTACGCCTTTCAATGACAGACACTGCCACAGAATCTCGCGGTCTACGGAGTCAAATGCTGCTTTCAAGTCAAGAAAGACCATCATTGTTGGACGCCGATAAGTATACCTGTGTTCTAGAACCTGACGAATGGTGAATATGTGGTCGATGCAGCCACGACCAGGTCTGAAGCCAGTTCGATTCTCTCGTGTTTGCGGTTCACTAGTCTTAGTTAGGCGTCCGATAATTATCGAGGATAGTATTTTAGATACTATATTAGTTAAACCAATCCCTCTATGGTTGTCACAGGATGATTTTGACCCTCTCTTATATATTGTGACAATCAGTGATTGCGACCAGTCAGATAGGATTACGTCCAACTCCCAGATTTTAGCTAAAATGTTAGTCAACCTGATCGCTAAAACTGAAACATCATACTTGAACACCTCTGTAACCAATCCATCTGGACCAGCAGCTGTTCCTCGTTTCAGGTTAGCTATGGCGTTCTGAACTTTAGCTAAAGTCAGGGCACCTATTTCAATGTTCCATTCAGGCGGTCTGGGAATGGTGAGTAGTTGTAGAGTATCTGAAGGCCAGCTGAACTGCTCCTTAATGTGTTCCGCCCATCGTACTGAACGTTTGGGCTGAGATAAGTGTCGTCTTTTTCCGAGATCGTTTCACTTACACTTGACTTCTTAATTCCAATTTCTTTTATTAATCTGAAAAGCTGTCTGGTGTTGCTTACAGCAGCTGTCTTCCCATCTCTTTTGCTTTCGTTGCCCACCACTGCTCACAGTCGTTTCTTAGACTTTTGGTTAACCTAGATCTGATTTGTTTTCGCTCTTTATCGTGTTCAGAGCCTGATGGAATGAGTTTATGAGAATATATCAGTGCAATAGACTTAACAGAAATCCACTGTTTTGTCATGACTTTTTGGTTCGAATCAATAATAAATGTCACCGCTGTTTCCACAGCTGTTCACATATCATTCCAAGCAACATCTGGGTTAGTCTCGTTTTTAGAACTGCCTAAGTGTAGCCTCAGTTGTTCCTGTAATCTACTTTTGGCTTTCTCTTCACTGAGTTAAACTCTAATGGGTCATCTTAATGTGGTTTTTCCTTATCCAGTGAGGCGCAAGTGAATGCGTGCTCGTATTAGAGCATAATTAGTACCTAAACATGTACTCTTAAACGTGCAGCAGTCTTCTACCGAGCCTTTCCAACGATGACTGATGGCAACATAGTCTATTTGAGTCCGTCGTTGGTTTGGTGCAGGGGGTCACCATGTTAGACGATGTCTCTCCTTATACTTAAAATTGTTACTTGCTAAGAATAAACGATTGTCTGAACACAGTTGCAGCAGACAATCACCATTATCTGTTCGCTGAGCCAGAAAACCAAAATGCCCACCTAAATGTTTTTCTGTTTGGTCGAAGCTATCTGCGCATTAAAGTCACCTGGTAAAAGTACTATGTCTGAACATCTAGCTTTCTGAAGACGTTCAGAGAGCTTTCCGTAGAAGAAATCTTTCACTTCATCCGGGCTGCAGTCAGTGGGAGCGTAGGCAGAAACGACGAAAAGGCAATGACGTGTCCCTATCCTTCCCAGTTCTTACTGAGCCGTTTAGCCGGACAGCACATAGACGAAAGTTAACCGGGATTCATTCTAATAGTGCTTGTTCTGCCCTCGTACTTATTGCTATACCTACACTTGCCAGTCCAAGAGAACTAGCCATCGGGTCGCCAGATACACGGAGGGTGTGTCTCGTCGGCTCACAGTTTTGGTGAGATGAGGCCAAGTGAATGACTAAATTAGGATCCTGTATGTGTGTTTCGGAGAAGGCATGCATCAATGGTACGAGATTCTAGGGTCTTAGTCAAGCAGGACTGCTGGTCAATTTGACATAAAGTGCGTACGTTGAAGGCTCCAATTTATAGTTTGGAACGAGGTTGCAGTAGATCTGAGACAATTTTTCGCGCACTAGAATTGTTGGCCGTGGTGACACTTGAAAAGGAAGTCAAAAGAGGAATTTTAGAGTTTAAAATCGAGGTAGGAGGCATAATAGCAATTGAAGAGGGGGATTAATTATGAATAAAGTGATCTTGAGTGCTTTTAGAGGTATGGAAGCATTTATCACTTCCCGATAGCCCACACAGTGGAAAGGTTCTTCTAGAAGTACCTGATAAAGAAATTGGCTTAAGGGCGGCCTTAGCGACCTGAGAACGTAACCGCACTACCCAAGGCACAACTACTTGAGGCCAATCACACATGACCTTTGTGAGTAGTTTCCGCTTTAGCTCAGTACTTGTCGGAGCCTTACCGCCGGAGACGGGAATCCGTGGTACAAGGCGGAGTGTTCATTTTTAGGGTCGATCTTTTCTAATCTCACCTTTCCTTGTCGGAAGACAGCATCGCTGTTATGCCGCTTTTCTGAAGGAAACACCTTACTGCCGTCACACCTCTATACAGTCAGCAGTATGACTTCACCTCGTACATTCGGTTTGCTGCTTTTAGTCTTACCGCTCTTCAACCAACCTGTCTGGCATGGTAGGACCTTGAGGAACGACTGTTCCGGCAAGTATGGTTAACTACAACGGGCAGGCCCAACCAGCAGGTTATGGTAGCAGCACCGGTCGCGGGGGGCCTACTACACATATACTGAGACTTCACCGGTTACCAGGTCCAGTTTAGTTAACTATATAATTTAATTTAAACACTCAACTTATTTATTCACTAGTACTGACCTGGATACTCGCACAAACGTGTTCTGAAACGGCACAGTACACCTGATAAAAAAACACGTGAATGCACCATTCAGGTTGAACTGCAAGCGTCTGGACAGAATGAAGTTGGAGGAGGTGAGGTTCATTTACTTCCAGTATTCCTATATCAAAACTAAGCAATTTTTGTTCGTCAGCAGTGGCTGTGATCAGCATACTTAACTAAGGAGCTTCGAGTTTGGAACATCATTTAACTTCAAAAACTTTAAGCAATATCGTAACCGGAGTATATGTATGCCCACTTCAAGTAAATAAAATAGCTATAATGAAATACTGTCAAGTACGTTTCTATTCATCGGCCTGAAAAATAATTATGACCAAGGTTATCTACACTCGACCAAGCCTCAAAAGTTTTTAATCCTTCCGCACTCACTTTCTGAGCTCACTTTATTTAAGTGGGTAGAAACTGTATAACTCTAAATTACAGACAATCCTTTGTCTTAATTACATGAGGATCAAGACCACTGTTTGTTAGCTGAATGATAAGTAGTCGATACCACTTTAATGGTGATTTCTGTTGAATTTTTGTCGATTTGAGCTCCTACATAATTCTAACTAGTAATGCTTAACTGAACAAAAACAAAACCTATGCATATAGACTAATACGAGAGAAAATTAAATAAGCAATAGATAAATTATTTAAAATGAGTTTTCAGAACCAATAACTTTCATATCTGAGGGATATTTAAATGGAAACACGAATTCCTGAGAAGTTCTTAATGCATCTTTTGATAAGTGCAAACATATTTCCAAGGCCCATTCGGAATGACTTTGAAACATTCTACAGACAAGATTTATAGAATGAAAATCAGGGTCAATTTTGTGCTTGTACTGAGTTTAACTAATGATCTTATCACAAAGTTCTGCGTATGTAGATAGAACACAACATTAATCAGAGCCAAGAACACGAATACGTAGAAGTTAGAACGGAAAACTGCGGAATAACTTAATCGCGACACTGAAATTCGTCCGTTGTAAATGACAAAATCCGTAAAACCTACATATTTAGAAGCATTAATTGACTGTTAGCTTGAAAACTTTTAAAATTTATTCAAAGATTAAGTGAAACAAAACCAATCTTTGGATGCAAATTTACAATTGTTTCTGAGGAAATTTTGTAAAAATAACGACACATCCCAGTGCAAAAGCTAAGTCAAATGTTGTTACCTTAGAGCAACTTTTAACAACATACAAAACTATACGAAAAAACAATTCGCTTGTGAGAAACTAAGAACAAAATATCCACAAAAACAATAGGATGGTATGTTACAAACTAAAAAACGTCCTGAAGATACTCCAAGCTGTTTTGACTGTAAATAAATATACATTACGATCTTATTGTTGTACATTGTTACATATTTGGTATTTGGTAAACAGAAGTACTGTAGCAAATAACATCCTATTCTTCTGCATTTTCTTTGGACCATGCATTGTATCCGCCAACAAGATTGAGAGGACTAAAAATAATTCATACATATACATCCACACCCAAGGCTTACTTCTCATAACCCAAATCCTGAACGATTTTGAGAGCACGCATACTTCTGACACCACTTCTACAACTGAAAACTACATTTTTGTCCGCCACATTCGGTTTGTGAATCTTGTACTTCTCTAAGAAGCTTTTCTCATCCAGTTTGAAGGCATCCTCGACTTCACCGACTACAAAATGAAGATCTTATCGCACTTACGTGGAATATTAACAGCAAAAGGGATCTTCCCGGCTTCCTCCAACTCGTTTGGTTCTCGGACATCTATCAATTTAAGGTCGTTTGATTTCATCATCTCCTTCAGCCTTTTCACATCTATGTTCACCAATTTTTCCGACGTGAACCATCTAGAAACTACAAAATAAATTTTCAAATTTTAATAACTAGTACAGCGTTTACAGACAACGCTGCTATTTTTGACACATAAACCAGAAGCTGCAACACGAGAACGGCTAGTTACAGTTAGAAAACTTTGCAAGAAAACGGCTCGAAGAATTGTTCGCATCATGACACCGATTTACTTACTGTGGTCAAACGGTTTTATATAAGATGCGATCAGAATAGCGACGGTTAGAACCAAAAACCAAATCAAATTACCACCCCGCCCCATCATATTGACGAAAACAAGGTGCTGAGATCGGATGAAGCGGGAAATTAAAATTAGACACTAAATCCGTTGCAAATAGCTGTTGCAGCGACAAAACAATAGAGGCAGTAAATTTTGTAACTATCAATAAAACTTTCCTCAAGTTATCTGTATAGAAAAATCATTCTAGGAGCTTCTTGATATATCCATTTAAAGATACAGAGAACGGTTTAATAGCGAGAGAACATGAGTGCATTCCTACATTTTTCGCAACTATCACACCAGATGCTTCGATTCATACTTACCTAGTCCACTTCTACGACCTGTCTTATAGAATTAGCGCAGTGGCACTGATCTATGCAGACAACACAAGGATCTGGAGCCTCATAAAAAGCAATCGGTAATTGGCAATGGGTTAAAACCTAACCCGTCGAAATGTCCGGTCACAAATATTCTGCCTCATTTGACAAACACCACTAATCCCTGCACAAATATACATTTCCGATTGTCACATCAGAGCATGATCACGAGCTTCAAACCAGGGAGAGCTTGGAAAACAACTGAAACCACACAGGGTATGCAGCCACGACAAACGCAATTCTCAACCAGATGTGTAGACTAATTGAAAAAATCACTCCAGAGTTGTTCTTGACACTGATTATAACGTACACACGGTCTCATCTCGAGATGCGCAATATTATTGCTCCCCTCTCTTTGAAAGAAGTATAAGATTCCCGAACCAGGTACAGAAATGTGTACCAGGTGGCTGATACGTCTAAAACATGGATCCTAGGAGAACACACTACAACAAGTGAATTTGTTGTCGTTGAGCCATATGAGAATAAGAGGTGATCTAGTGATGGCATGCAACATATTAAGTACACCGAATCACCTGAACAGTGGATAGCTTTGAGAGGAGAATTCATAAACACATATTCACCCACAGATTACCATCTGCGGATCGGTTAACATCGACTTACTTTGTTTTTAATTTTTGCTATTCGTCGCATTTTTATAGGGGGTTTTGCAGTGGTTGATACTATTTTAAGCCCACCTGGGTTATTTATACTTATGGCTAGTCCAATTTACTCGTTTTTCTCAAGCCACATTTTGGCCTTGCTGATTATTCGCTTATTAACCCTTCAGGTTTTTATATTATCGTATGTTAATTCCTCATCCCATTATTTACCTACCAGCAACTTATTTTTGGTCACCCTCGATTAAATCAATTGGTTCGATCTCCTTCTCCACTGCGCATCATTTCCTTTCGGTTCTCTCTTTACTCTTTGCTTCGTTTCTCTGACTTCCTGCTTAAATCATTGGGTAAATGAAATATACGTATTCAAAATCCATTCTCGTATTTGGTTTACTTAATTCAGTTATTCACCAACTCAGATTAAGTCAATAATCTTATACCAGGGTAGCTGGGATTCATATTTCAGTAACAATTATGTGACAATTAGGAGTATTTGAATTTTAGAAATAACACAATGTAACTAAGAAGTACTGGATGAGCACGGACAAACGTATTGTATTTGGAATTCAAAATCAAGCAGTCAGCAAGAAAAAAGGAAGCGTTAGTTCATACAAACACCGAAAATTACCAAAAAATACAAGAATACAAAAATTTCCTTTGACCAGATTTGTCTAATGCATGTTCTATAAATTACCACGGTTTTCACTGTCGTATAACTAACAACTTTTATCACATCTGTCCGCCTCTAATTCAACAATTCCATCTTCTTGCATATTATTATTTGCCGAGACTACAATTTATGGACAACTTTTGAGCGACGCTTACGTGACCCTGATAATGTCTATCTAATGACTACTGCGAAATTAGGATTATAAAGCAGCATGAGAAATTAGAATAAGCATGTATAGTTTACGCTTAGAATTAGGAACTAGATAGAGGGTTTTCATCGCGAATCGGTTGTTCTATTATTATTATTATTATCATTGGCTTTATTCAGCATTATATACTCAATACAATATCGACTTCTCCCCACAAGGTATTTCAACAAGTTTCTTTAAGAGAATGAGCAAAAGGGTGAAGGAAACTGCTAACTGCATACATATATATACAAGTTAAGTAGATAAACTACCTGGAATTGAATGAAATGTTTTTTTGAATCTGTACATTTTTAGAAAATTAGAAACGTGCTCAAGAATACAAGCTATTGACTAGGTCGACTCTAACAACCTGTTCGTCGCATGTTACATTTGCCAGGTACGGAATAATAGAACTTTTATACCTTTGCTTGGGTGCATGAATTCTGATGTATTGACATCTGTTTCTACCAGAAGACATACAAGGAGAAAGATATGCATGAATTGGATGGTTAATACCTGATAAGATACCACCTGCCAGGAGTTTGCAAGGCTTTAGATGTCTATTCACAATTGTATTAGTAATGACCTTAAAAGAGTCACCGCACACCCTGATAGCTCTCTTCAGCACTCCAAACAATACAGCGAAATCTTTTCTCGAAATCCCGGGAAAGAATAATAGGTGATATGCAGGGATTGACATATTGTAAGAGTAAATGTAGAGTAATGACGAAAGCACGCAACCTCCTTACGTGTTAAATCATACAGGAAAATTTATCCGACAAATTAAAACATTAGAAGACCAGAGAAGAAAATTATACCAAGACAAACGACTTTTGATATTGCTACTATTGAAAGGTCTTCGATAGTACAAACCTTGTTGGAACCCAATAGCATGTTCATATGCTGCTCGTATCTCAGGCTACAGTTGACAATTTGATGTGGTCATTAACAACAGACCGTTGTTCAATGCGAGACGAAGACTCATTCATTTCATTAGTGTGTAGAGCACTAGAAATCTTTGTACATACAGCGAAACTAACCGTACGGTAGGGAATCTGAACACTTTCCTCCAATCACAAAATACCGTTCCCTTTCAGAGAGGTAGGAACACAGTCAGTTGGTTATCCAATCGTCAATGTCAGGTTATAGGAAACGTCACATCAGATGATTGGTGTGCAGAAGTCATCCTTGGGCCACAAACATTCAGCTGGTTATCGTCATTAATACATCTCCCACCTGTAATCTTTTTTGAATAGTTTCCACATGCATGAAGATCTTAACAAGAAAGAGGTTTCTGAGCAAACACTAAGTTCAGATGTCTGATTTCTTGGTTTATTAGACCACTCAGCTTTCGAAACTCGATGGAGTTTTCCTTGTATATTTTTCGTTTACCCTCCGTAATCGTTTTACTTGTGGAGATGTAAGTCAACCAAAACTTACAAAGATATTTTCACTGTGACAATACTAAAACAGAATTTAAGATAATAAGTGACAGCATCAAGGGTGTTTTTCAGTCCGTCGTTTGTAATTAATCCCCAGTTTGTTGCACGAAAGTTTTTTTATTTTTGATATTTTCCTGTATTTAACTTTCATATTTGCTGTACGAGTATGCTCTTTACGAGCTTGCCATATACCTTAGGTAGGACACGAATTAGCAGTGATTAAATCTAGACAATGGAGTACGTTTACGAGTCACATATATTTCTACATCTTTAATTAAAGCCAAGCCTAAAGAGCGTCCAAACGAGTGGGAACACCTACTATGTTTTGATGACTTAGTGATGAAACTGTAGATCACCAACGTAGATGATCTGTGTCGAAATGATTGGAGGCCGACTCGAGTTAGACGTGAATGGTGTGACAAACTAGCTAATGTCGAAGTCACACCTCGTAGTTATCACGTTACGTGGACTACCCCATTGACGTATCAAGGTACCACAGATGCTTTAAAGACTGTACAACACAGAGGGCGTTATTACATAAATATATTAGTTAAGGTAGATACAAGCGAAAGTAAGACCACTGCTGCATGGGCCAGTCCATGGTGTAACACGTGTAATCAGCAGTCACTGGAAGACGGGAAGACCTAAAGCCACAACACACACACAATGTTAACTGAACACCTTGCACCACAGAGAGAACGAGGAAGGGAGGCCAATAGACGTTTATTTGAAAATTAAAATTCGCGGGGGTCTGTACAGAAAGAGAGCTAGTTTACAAAACGGTCTTATGAGTCATCCTGTAAGTTTAGTGCGTGCAGGGCTTGCTCTTCTTCTTCTAAAGCGTTTATTCTTGGTTGCCCTGCAATAGAAAGAAAACAAAATCTATTAACAACATCATACATGATGATTTTAATCCCGTTACATCGCCCCCTCAGTGCCTGATCTTGGGGACGGGTATGCTGTCCCTCCTTCAGATGGTACTTCGTAAAATCTAGTGGCCGGCGGTGGATCAGCGAGTTGAGCATCGAAGGGAAATGTCGTCCGATCGGGTTTTATCTGGTTGTAGTGCACCGTTATCACATCGTCTTTAGGCCGTTGTATGTTACGCAATACAAACGTGGTGGGCGATCGGATGAGGACAATTTCAAAGGGGCCTTGCCAGGGTTGATGGAATTTACTGCAACCCCCTAGCGACGTCCTTGGGCGGCGTAACCAGGCGCGATCTCCAACCGTATACCTAGGTCCTTGTGCTTGACGATCATATATATCTTTTTGGTGTCCACTGGCCTTGCATAAGTTAATGTTGATCAGACGGTAGGCATCAGCTAGTCGGTTGCGAAGAGTACGTATGTACGGAACATGCTCTTGTTCTTCGTAGGGCAGCAGGGGTGACTGCATCTCTACTGGTAGGCGTAGTTCGTGCCCAAACAGCAAAATAGCAGGCGAGAATCCCGTGGACCCATGTACCGACGTACGATATGCTAAAATGCATTGGGGAAGCACCTCATCCCATAACTCAGGTGACGATCTCCTGACAAACGACTGCAAGATGGCTTTAATAGTTCTGTTTGTTCTTTCCACGAGACCGTCACCTTCTGGGTGATAGGCAGTGGTGTATGTCTTCTTGATTCCTAATAGCCGGCATATCTCAGTAATGAGGTGGCTTTCAAAGGATGGACCTTGGTCGGAGTGGAGTGAGACAGGGGCACCATAACGGGAGACCCAATGATCGATGAAAGCTCGGGCAACAGT